GTAAGAAACGGTCAGACATAGGCCATGGGCTCCAGATATAAATGTTAATTTTAAATTTGTTTTGTTAGTGATCGCCAAATAAAAGTATCAAAGTACAAATCCATGACTTCCCCGTGTGGGTTCCGGAGCCCTGTTAAAGGGAAAACAAGAATAGACCCATTGCCTACCCAAAAGCATGTTGTAAGAGTGAACTAATTGGGAGCTTCCTTCGAAGTCAGAGTGCAAGGAACCAGCAGTCTGCATACAGATGAGTCAGATCTGTAAAACATGCACTTGCAACACTCAGGTACTGGAACAGGACTGCAGTTCAAAAGTGGATGAACAACCAGAACTTTCCCCCAGAGTTTTCAGCTGGTGAACTCAAAGAAGAAGAAGAAAATCCATGTCTGACATTTTAGGCATCTTGGATATACGTTCTGGCCCAGTATATTTGAATAGTTGAATCGGCATTCAGAGGGTGATGTGTCCTATTATCATGCTGGTCACCTTTATTTCCCAAATATTTTCCTGATACCAGTCTTGTCTTACGCTGGATCAGTTTGGGAGCCAATTTCAGTGAGAATTTTTTCTTAAATGCCCACTGAGCCAGTAAAAAAAAAATATGACAGCTACTGTGCTGCCCCAACCTCCTAATTATGACTTTTTGTGTTTTTTCTCCAAGCTCAGTTTTTACATATACCAGTCATATCCACAGTAGTGGATTTGCCTAGTCTTTCTTTCACTTGTTTGTATTAACTGTAGCCTGTGACTGAAATGTCTGACCTACAGGAAATTATAATTTTAATTTTATTTTGTCTTCAGGTATTAACAGCAGTGATTCTTAAAATTGTTGAAAGTACCCTTACTTAACCCTTTCATTATATATCAAATTTAAAAAAAAAAAAAGTTGTCACTGGAGCTTTTGAGGAAAGTGTTCATCACACAAACAAGTTTGAGAAACACTGACTGGAAAGTCGCCATAGTGTAAATAATTTGAGAAACACTGGCTTAAAGTCTCCATAATGTTAAACAGTTTGAGAAACACCGACTTCAAAGTCTTTATCTCAGAAACAATTTGAGAAGCACTGACTTTGAAGTCTTGATTGTGAAAACAGTTACAGTAACATTGACTTGAATCTCGATGATGTAAACAGTTTGAGAAACACTGTCTTTGAAGTCTTGATGGTGAAAACAGTTTAACTCTTTGAGTCCCAAGGAACGTATCATACGTTCATAGGTTACTGCCTAGAAGCCCAATAAACGTATGATGCGCCGATTTTACGTCTCTTTTGACTACCCCTTGGGCCTGTGATGCTAAACCCTCTGGGATTCAAAGAGTTAAGTAACATTGACTTGAATCTCAATGATGTAAACAGTTTGAGAAACACTGGCTTTGAAGTCTTGATGGTGAAAACAGTTTCAGTAACATTGACTTGAATCTCGACGATGTAAACAGTTTGAGACACACTGTCTTTGAAGTCTTGATGGTGAAATTAGTTTAAGTTGTATTGACTTAAATCTAGATGATGTAAACAGTTTGAGAAATACTGGCTTTAAAGTATTTGGATAACAATGCACGGTTAGAATTTGGCATAATTTCTACCTGGCTTTAGTAAACTTAACCATGGTGTTTTTAATATTGTTGTTGTTTCTTGCTATTCTGTCAACTGTGACGTAGATAATTTTGATTTGTTTTCATCCTGCCATTTGTGCCATTATTTTGCTTATGTTAAATGTGTCTAGAAGCCATTATTCATCTGATCATTTACAAGCATGTGACTGACTTCTGTGCCTGCATACAGCATTGATGGATGTTTTAATACCTTGTGCACTTGCCTTGCTGGCTGTCGCTAAAGCACCCATGTAATATTTCATTTCTTTCATAAGTGCCGGTAAAATTAAATCCTTGCAGATTTTTTTGTTCAATGTCCAAATGATGAGAATTCAGTCATGTAACATTTAAATCCAGTCTGTTACCTGGCATGCTGCAGTTGACAAAATCTCTGCGAGCACTTACATAATAATTCATGTCTTTCATATGTGCCAGTAAAGCAAATTATGCCAGAATTGTTTCATCAAGACCCAGTCACCCACATTGGACAGCAAGTTTTTTTTAAACCACAAGTGTGGCCCAATAAAACTGTTCTGTAAGGTTAAGTGGGATTTATTGGATTTTTGCCTGTTGGATTCACATCCAGATAATGGCTCTTTGTGTATCGGTCTGTCAGGCTGATCTTCAGTCAAAAGATCGTTTACAGAATGTTGCTCTCATCACGACACGCCTGAAAGTCTCTGATTCTCCAGTCAGTTCTCTTGCTCTGTGTGCTTTCAAAGTCAATGCATCTTCATTGTCTTGTATCCACCTTCGGTCAATATGCCGCATTTTCCGGAAAATTTACCCTCCGTCACTGTTCTCTACAGGCCACCATGACTCAGATGTAGCCAAAATATCTAAACTTTTGGGACATGGTGCTGTGTATGAGTCAGATTTTTTTACCTCTATGTTCAGATCGTGTAGGATAGTGTTTTTCTTCTTCTTAGTCCACAGTATTGTAAGAATTGTTCTGTAGTATTTCAATTTAAAAACTCAGATGTTTTCTTCAAAGGCTGAGTGAAAGTCCATGCATCACATCCAAAAGTTGACACGGGAAAGATGCAATATCCCCAAATGATTACTTTAACTTGTTTGGCTACTTGAACTTGTTTGGCTACTTGAACTTGTTTGGCTACTTGAACTTGCTTGAAGATGCAGCAATCTTTTAAGCTGCTATCTTGACTTTTTTTGTGTGTGCAATCAAACTGATGGGAACTCAAAACATTATTGGCCATATTGCGCCTGCACAAACGTTTAGGAGGTCAGGAAATGAATACATTTACTAAAAATAGCATGGGGGGGGGGGGGGGGGGGTTGTCCTTAGAATTAAATAGTTTTTTAAAGCCAAGTTGACTTCACATTTTCCTATAAGCCTCAGTGATGGAGATCGCAGGGTCATGGCATGAGTCACCCGATACTTATGATTTATTTTTTTGGTGTTTTTTAATGTCTGAGGAATGTATTCTATTGAATGTTTCACCCTGTTCATGTTTGTTGATTACTACCTTCATATGTCTTTTTATTTTTTGAGGAGAAAAAAATTAAACAATGTAGACAAAAACATTTTTACCAAATTTATTAGTGACCTGTGTCACTGTAATTCATACGGGGTCATGGCCCTTTCTATTTATTAGTTTTTCCAAGGTGAGAGAGTTAAAGAACAACGAGGATTTGATGCAGGACTTTCTCTCATTTTAATTTACTCTCTGAGAAAAAGGATTACAACTTCCCATCATTTTCAAAACTGTATTTGCATTATAAAGTTGGTTATAAAGGGGATATGTCACATGTCTTCTACCTGGCTGAAGTGGCCAGCCCTCGTTAGCCACTTTTTATGCTATGTGTGATAGGTTTTGTATGCTTTATGGGCGACGGTAACATAACAGTTGTTTTGTCCTCACAAATATTGCGTGGTAATGCTAATTTGAACGAATCAAATAGTACATAAAAGCACACTAAAATAGATGAAGCTTTATTAAAGATGCAAACGGCTGAGAATAAGAGTGAGAAGCAACAGTGAAGTTCATAATCTATTTGAATCAGTCTTGATCACTGACATCATGAGGGCTAATAGACTACAATGGCTGAAACATTAAAAAAATGGCTAAAACATAAATGGGAAATGACAGAGAGACAAAATCAGTTCATGAGGGAGTTAAATGGGAGTAGACCACGAGGCAGATCAAGACAGTAAAGTGGGAATATCCAGAAAACCTGCAAACACCTACAGGATCAATATGGAATAATATGATTGATATCCGCAGCAACAAACTCTCATGGACCCGGACTGCTGAAGCAGAAGAAGACAGATAAGTCATCAAATTATTGAGATCCGTGTCAAGACTACAATAAGTGAATGCATCACAGACAGTCCTGTCACTCAGACACAAGGGTAGCGGAGCTAGAAGTCGCCCATGTAAGGGAGGGATAGATGGAATGGAATATCTGAAGCCGTGAATACCAGCTTGTGTGCAGCACACAGTAGCGTTTATGCAAGATACCTCTTTTAAACATGATGCTGAAAGGCATAATAAGATCTAGGTACAAGTATAAGACTTAAGACTTTTTTTTTTAAATTGCTACATTTGATTCCAGTCAGTGATTCATAAAACACAGGTCTTGTTGAATATTTTGTCAGTGATTCATAAAACACAGGTCTTGTTGAATATTTTGTCAGTGATTCATAAAACACAGTTCTTGTTGAATATCCTGTCAGTGATTCATAAAACACAGGTCTTGTTGAATATCCTGTCAGTGATTCATAAAACACAGGTCTTGTTGAATATTTGGTCAGTGATTCATAAAACACAGGTCGTGTTGAATATCCTGTCAGTGATTCATAAAACACAGGTCTTGTTGAATATCCTGTCAGTGATTCATAAAACACAGGTCTTGTTGAATATCCTGTCAGTGATTCATAAAACACAGGTCTTGTTGAATATCCTGTCAGTGATTCATAAAACACAGGTCTTGTTGAATATCCTGTCAGTGATTCATAAAACACAGGTCGTGTTGAATATTCTGTCAGTGATTCATAAAACACAGGTCTTGTTGAATATCCTGTCAGTGATTCATAAAACACAGGTCTTGTTGAATATCCTGTCAGTGATTCATAAAACACAGGTCTTGTTAAATATCCTGTCAGTGATTCATAAAACACAGGTCTTGTTGAATATCCTGTCAGTGATTCATAAAACACAGTTCTTGTTGAATATCCTGTCAGTGATTCATAAAACACAGGTCTTGTTGAATATCCTGTCAGTGATTCATAAAACACAGTTCTTGTTGAATATCCTGTCAGTGATTCATAAAACACAGTTCTTGTTGAATATCCTGTCAGTGATTCATAAAACACAGGTCTTGTTGAATATTTTGATTTCAGATGTGTTACCTGTAGTAATCAAGAAATAACTAAACAAAAACTGTA